TCGTACCACCCTCGGTGGCGGCGCCAGTTGCTCTTGAGCGCTTCGTGCGAATGGCGAACGCCCGTGTCGATGGAGCCGACGACGATGCCAGACCCGTTCGCGAGTGGCCACATGGCTGGCGCACCGACGGTCGCCACGCCCCACTCGACGTCCGTTGACGTCGTGTTGTCGTCGGCTCCCGACAGCACCGGATCGAGCTCGATCACCGAGACAGGTTCGATCGTGACGACATCCACGAGCAAGGCGAGCGCCGCGACAATCGAAGCCGACGCGTTGTGCACGACGGCACTGCTGCTGATCCAAAAGGACGTACTCGCGTGGTCGTGAAGAAGCGCCAACGCCGCCTTTTGAGACGCGATCGCGTGGTCTCGCAGCGCTTGAAAGACGCGAGTTCGGTGGTCGTGGTGCGACGGCGTCGATGCCACACGGTCCAGTGCTGCTTGATGACTCGTAAACGTCACAAAGATGTCCATGGTATCGTACGCGGCCAAGTGCCGGTGGACGTGCGGCGCGACCTTGGCGGTCGCGCGCGCCGGTAGAAGCAGCACGTAGCTGAGAACGCCCGCAAGGACGTATCGGGTCGGGCACATCATGCTGCTTCTGGAATGCTTAGCATCTATCCCAAGGATCTGTCGGTCTGGCCACGTGCCCATATGTCGAATCGCTGCTACACAGAGAGGACCGTTGGTGGTAAGCGGGCCGGAATCGCATGTTGGCGGTTTGTGGGAGGCTGGCTCGTGACCCCACACCACGGTCGTCACATGGTGCTATAGACGACGTCTGCACAGTGTACTTCAATCATTTCTTATGTTTCCCTCTCTCCCAGCACCTGAAACGGCTCGGGACACTGACACAACAGGATATTTTAAAGCGTACCGAAGCTCGACTCAGAGTGCAGCATGTACCGGGGTGTCAATTGCACGCCGACGGACGATCTTATGGCCGTTCTTATTCGCCAAGCGTGTTTACCTCGCTTGTAGCGAAGGGGTAACGCGCTCATGATACGTAGCGTCAGCGACCTTACCTGCTTGTGTCCACCTCACTCCGTCGTCGTGATCGATATTACTCGTGCTGGTATTACATGCTACTCACTGCCAATTACTACTACCACTACTACTGTACTAGATCTTTTAAATTCAGCCGGGATGTCCACGATTGCCCCGATGTTCAATTTTGTTTCTTCTTGCGATGGGCATGTCCACCGTGCTGGCTCTCGAAACATCATGAAATAGTGTGCGAATGCGCCCTCGCTCGCCCTACGCTGGTCGCGCACTTTTTAGTGGCTCAAGATCGTACCAACAAAGAACATGTTGTAGCTCTATTTGCATCAATAGCCTCCTCGCAAGTACAATGCTATCGTAGATACCCTCGCCCACTCAAGACTGGAGACATACACTATTTCATGCGCCCAACATGCGACACCCCCAATGGAATGTCGGTGTCAGAATGTAGGTCCTGTGCGACTGTGGCGATCTTTGCAAATGTGCAGGCGGCCGTTCTCTCACTTCTACATTTCCCATCACAATGACAGCGCACTTGGCCAAACTCGACAGCATCCTCGACAACTGCGCGATCGACCAGCAGCACCCGTCGCCAGTGGACCCCACCCATGAGCGTGGCATCGCTTGCCTATTTACGGTCCTCGAAGACCCGACGTTCTTCGACAAGCTCCACTGGACGTCGGCGCTCAAGAAGGCAGAGACGCGCGTCCTCGTGCGCCTCGACAAAGGATGCCTCACGTACCTACCGCCGAGCGCCGCGTCGCCGCAGTACCTTCCGACGCTGCACACGATCTTTGTACGGCACGGGAAGCGCCAGGTGCAGCTTGTCGCCCGCGGCAGCGACGTCATTAAGACGTTTGCCTTTGCAAGTCCGCTCCAAGCCACTGAATTTTGCGGCGCCGTGCAGTTGCTGCAGCACTTGGACCACTTGCGTCAGCCGCGGTACCTCCCACAAGGCGCGGATCCGGAGCTCTACAAGCAGCTACACAACACACTCACGTTTGCAACCGACATGTGGACGCAGGCGCTCTGGCAGCAGCTCTGGCCGTACTCGCGACTCCTCGAGCTGCTGGCGTCCGGTCTTTCGCTCCTGCGCAAGAGCCAGCCGACGCCGTCGCGCAACGTCCTCAAGCAGCTCTTGGTGATCTTGGACGAAGTGCACGACGATTTTTTTCCACACGCGTCGCTCCACACCATGTCTGCAGACGAGATGCATGCAATGTTGGACGACATCAAGTGCTATCGAGCGTCGTATATTGCTCTTCTCGTTGGCAAGATCCAAGCACTCACAATCCACGTCGAGCTGTACCTCCATCCAGTCGCCTAGATGGACGAGCTTGCTAATTTATGATTTTGTTTCTCGAACCGAGCATCGTCTATTGGTCGCATCGTATGCAATAGACACTAGAAACTAGAAACAAGGTTGTCCTACGAGCTGGCAAGTGCTATGTATGTGTCAGGCTTCAGGCAAAGACTTGGTGATTGACGTCGGGAGCTCAAGTGCGTGCTTTATCGACAGTATTGGCTCTCGTACAGCAACGCAGACAACATTTCGTTGCCTCGTCGCTACTACTGAGACGAGAAATCAATTTTCGACCGTGTTGATAGCAAAATGCGCGTCAAGATTGAGTGCCATAGAAGGGGTGCGATCGTGCTAGAACGCCAAGAGGACAAAAACCTTCAGAAGAGTAGACAGGACATGGAGGTGGATTGATGCAGAGTTATTAGTAGCAACGACGCACTGGATATCGGGACCGAAACGAAACGAAACGATGT